GTGTGCCGTGGGGGCGTGGGGAGCCGGTGGGGAGCCCTGGCTGGGGGTTCAAGCCCGGTGACTTGGTCTGCGGCTGCGGCCGGTGACAAAAGCCGCGTTCCCAGGGCACAGTGCTCCGAAGCGCGGCACCGCTCGCCCTCACGCCCCTCGCAGCTCCGGTGCCACCCTGCCCGTGCAGGACGGTTCCTGGGCTGCCCCAGCCACGCGCGGCACGGGCTCGTTTGCACCTCGGAAGCCGGTCGGCTGGCGCCTGGGCAGCTAAGAGCAGCATCGACCCAATTCAAGGGATCCAAAAGTGTTTGGGGGTGAAAAAGCGCTGGCTGCTGCCCCCCTGGAGCTGGGCCACAGCGATGGAGCCCTCAGGACAAGCTCGAGGGGGGAAATGTTTCGCTTGCTTTCTGCTTTCGGTCATTTGCATGTGTCCTCACGTAAAGCCCAGGCCAGGGGGTGATGTGGGGCAGCGGCACAAGAAGAAATGGCTGCAGAAATGCCCTGGATCTAGGTTTGGGGCGTGGAAGGGCACAAAGCCTGCAGGGTGCCGTCTGCCGAAGCGCAGGTGAGGGCTCTGGACGAAGCCAGGGAGCTGCCTCCGTGAGGAAAGAGCTGGGGGGGGGGATATAAAAAAGCCATTATAATTTTATTATTTGTGCATGCAGCTGCAGTGCTCCCCTCCTCCTGCCTCGGCTTTCGCCTGTGCTGTCCCTCAGTCCATGGCAGGAGGGCACCAGCCCCGGGGGCGGGAAGCCCCCGCTTCAGCCGGGGGGCACAGGCAGCACCAGCGTCTCCCGAGCCCTTCGGGGGGGCTGTGAATGCTTCAGGACCGCAGCCGCCCCCAGCCCCTTTCGTGCCCTGCAGCTGGTGTGGGTGTGGAGCTCAGGCTGCCGGGGGTCCAGGTCTGACGGGACCCCCCGGGTCCCCCATGCACCAGGACAAGCCCCCGCGCGGGCGGGCTGCCCCTGCTCGCTGCAGCTGCAGCCGAAACCTGGGCTTACGGTCCCCTTCCCGCTGGCCCGAGCTCGCTTCAGTGCCTGCATTTCTCTTGAATATATTTTATCTGTGCGAATTAGTGGTTTATCTCATCGTAAATACGGATTTGAGAGATGAAGCACGGCTGGGATATTGCAGAGTGCAAGCCTGGTGATTTAAGCACCCTTCAGAGCCCTCTGCTTTCCGGTTTGCTCCTGCACTCTGTGACTTAGGTTTTGCCATCAGAAGGTTTTTCCCAAGCACTTTGCTACACTAACTCATCCCAAACCCTTGCTTAGGCTTAATTTTATTCAAATACGTAGTTTTCCAACAGTTTCTCTTTTCGCTGGGCGTTGGCGCGTGGAGGTAGAGGCGGCTCGCTGTGGGTGCCGAGTGCTGGTGTGCGGGGAGGGGGGAAGCGCGTGCGTATGCAGGGACCTGGGAGGATGCAGAAAGTTGGGGAAGGGAAAAAAAAAAATTGCGTTACATGGAGGCCGAGCAGCCAGGCAGGAGGGCAGGAGTGACAACCCACCCAGCCGCTGGTGGGCTCAGGACCACGAGATCCCCCTTCGAGCATCAGCCCCGGGCACCTCAGCCCCGGGGACCTTGTGATGGGGCGGTTGCAATCACGTTCAGGCACTGCTGCCCAAAGCAGGATGAAGCATTGTGGGGGCACCAGCACCTCCTTGTCTATGAGTTTCCTCCTTTGTGTGTTTTCCCGGTGGGAGTGCTCACCTGGGTATCTCTGTACCCGAGGGAGTGCTGTCTCTGCCAGCAGCTCTGCCCTGCTGCGAGTGGCCGGGCTGGTGGGGAGCCAGCTGGTGACAGGGGAGCGTTGGTGGGGACCTCCATCAGCGCTGGGGTTGGGTGCCGGAGACCTCCATCAGCGCTGGGGTTGGGGGCCGGAGACCTCCAT